TTCCGGCCAGAGCGAGTGACTTCCTGGGAGATCCTCTGCCTCCTCCTTTCTGCCCTATTTTAGTGTAAATAACCCAGGCCACAGCCTGCTCCCTTGGCATTAGCTGGAGGGGAATTTTCTAAAGGATGAAGTGTCTGGGAAATGTTCACCCTTTTTCCCTCCTTTCTTATGACGAAAGCGCTGCAAACGGAGCCTTGGCTGGTGGTTCCTGGGATCCGAACTAGCTGGGCCAGAAAAGGAGACACTGACCTTCCCCTCCTCCTCCCCGCCTCACAGGGCGACAAGCCCTATCTCTCATCTTCGTCGTCCTTCCCCAGGGGGAGGGCAGGGCTTTCAGGCTCTAGAGCCGGGAAGGAGGCATCCAGCACAGAACTTCCCAGAAAAGTTGGCCTGCCCCACTCTGGGGAGAGACCCAGAAAGTGATAGCTCCAGGCCTCGCTGGTGGGGGACGGTGTCGTCTCGTCAGCATTGGGTGCGGGCATGTCCCACTCTGCTCTTGCCCTCGCCCTCTGCCTTTCCCCAAGTTGCTGCCTGAGGTTTCCGGGGCTCCCTTGTCCACAGGGGCTTCCCAAGCCCCTGCTGACACCCAGCGGGGGAAGAGTTGGGCAGCCTGCGCTGGTGGGGGCCCATTTCTCCGACAAGATCCGGAAGGCCTGAGAAGCATAGCACCCCCGCACCCCAACCCCAAGGAGTGTCTCTGCGCTACCCTTTAACCCTGAAGCCACACTGACTTCTAACCCCTCCCGACACACAGGACCCTGGGGACTTGGAAGGTGCCTCAGGCTGAGGAGAGGGCCACCTTGCACTTCCAGCTGTGGAGGAAATGGGAGCAGGCAAGGGGCTTGGGCCTCTCCGGCTACCAGCCCAGCTGCTGCATGGCCTCTGCCGGCTTCCCTTCCCAGTCTTGAAAGGGAAGACAGAGCCCCGTGTCTCTGTGGTGCCAGCCGGGACAGGAACGGGCTTGCTGAGTTCAGGAGCCGGCCACAGCGCGACTGGAGCAGGAAATGCAGCTCCCACAACCTGGCTGTTTACTTTGTCACCCCCAGGAGTGGCCCGCTCTCCCCACTGCTGCTGGTGCTCCGGGCCTGCCTCTCAGAGGAAGGGGGCTCGGGTACAGCCCCCTCCTAGCCAGAGCCCCAGGTTCTGCTAAATGTCTGCTTCTCGGACCTTCACAAAACAGGGCAAGGGAGAGGAGTCTGAGGGAGGGTGGGGTTCACAGGAAGCCTTGCGGGCACCCAGTGCCACTGTCTGTCGGGTTGTCTGGATGAGATCGGATGCTCTCTTACCTCTCCTCAATGCTGGGGTCATGGGTCTAGGGGACGGACGGGAGAGGACCACATGGGCTGGGCGCTTCCCATGCAGTATGGAACCTTTCTCCCCCCCCAAAAAAACTACTACTATAAAGACTGCTGTCTTTGTGGGTTTTTCTGTGGGCCTCCCCTCACGTGGGCCCAACTCCAAGGATCATCCTTGAGGGCAAGGAAAAAAAATGCCCTCAGCCTTCCTTGTAGGGAGTGGGCAAGGTTTTCTTCCCCCTTGGGGAAATACAGCTGGGAGCACGTGGTCCACAGGGATTTTCTTCAGAACGACCATTTCCTGGGGGCGCCTGGGTGGCTCAGTCGTTAAGCGTCTGCCTTCGGCTCAGGTCATGATCCCAGGGTCCTGGGATCGAGCCCCGCATCGGGCTCCCTGCTCAGCGGGGAGCCTGCTTCTCCCTCTCCCACTCCCCCTGCTTGTGTTCCCTCTCTCGCTGTCTCTCTCTCTGTCAATTAAATAAATAAAATCTTTAAAAAAATAAAAAAAAAAAAAAAAAGAACGACCATTTCCTTCTTGACATTCCTGCCCCCCTGCCCCCAAAAGCACACATTCAGAATAGCTTCCCTGGGGTTTTCCCCCTGGATTCAATGATGGGAATCAGTGTTAGGAACGAAGTTGTGAAACTCGCACTCCGTAGTCCCTGGTCCTGCTGCTTTTTTTCTCAGTAAATCCCCACTGCACAAGTTTTCCTCCAGGGCATTCCTCAGATCCTGGGCCCATCTTCACGCGCTTCCCATTTAGGAAGATAGATTCTGCCCCGGGGTGGGGGTGGGGGGCGAGGGGGCGGTGGTGCCTGAGACCCCCAGGGACAGAGATTGGCCTCTGTCCCAATCCCAGGGTGGCTCCAAGGTCCCTTTTAGCCCCTGGCTTTGTACACAGCACAGGGGTCTCTGAAATGCAGAAATCTCTTAGGTGCCTCTCCACGCCTCCGGGCCTTGCTCTGACCCACCCGCTCTATGGCCCCTGGATATTTTCGTTGGCGGCTCCTGCCACCGCCACCTCTTGCTGGCAGCTTGCTCAGTGCCCTCTCAAACGGGGGCCTGGGTCATAAGAGTGCCGCTCTTTTTCAGGGTCACGTCTCTCTCCCTTGCTCCCACACCCACCCCAAACCCAAGAGGTTCAGTCAATTATAACTAGTATTGTCCCGTTTTAAATTAACTTTTTATTTTTTTTTAAAGATTTTATTTATTTATTTAGAGAGAGAGAGAGAATGAGAGATAGAAAGCATGAGAGGGAAGAGGGTCAGAGGGAGAAGCAGACTCCCTGCTGAGCAGGAAGCCCAATGTGGGACTCGATCCCAGGACTCCAGGATCATGACCTGAGCCGAAGGCAGTCGCTTAACCAACTGAGCCACCCAGGCACCCTTAAATTAACTTTTTAAAAAAACTTTAATTGTATTCAGATTATACGAGTAAAGCGCACACATTGTAGAAAAATAAGCTTAGAACAGAAAAGATGAAGGATGTGCTTTAGTCCCTTCTGTCAGAGACAGCCACATTTTCATTCTGGGGGTATTCCATCCCAACTGATTCTAGTGGCCTCCTCCTGGGGGGTGGGGGGCAGTGTGTCCCCCACACCCCAGCCTTCCCTACTCAAGAGCCCTGAACGGTCTCCACAGCCCAGTGTCCAGGCCCTCTGGGGCCAGCCCGGTCCTCAGGGGGGCCCCTCCCTCCCCCCTGCCCCAGCCTAGCCAGCTACCTGGTGGTCAATCCCCCAACGTGCCCTGCCTGTCTCTTGCATCAGCCCTAGGATCTGTCTGATGGTGTAATCTTGGCCCTGCCCCCACCCCCACAGGGCCATCTTCACCTCAGATCCTACTGTTCCTTTGAGGCTGAGCTGGGCTTAGTCACTTCCTCCCTGAAGCCCTCAGAGCTGCATTTCACCCCCTCCCCCACCAAAAAAAAAAAACAACAAAACAAAAAACCCTAGAAGGACCCTTTCTCTTTTTGGTCCATGGGGAAGTTGAGATTCAGTACTCGTTGGCCCAATGACTGCCTTCCTGAAGTATCTTCTAACGTCTCCGTGTTTGTGGCTGTGTCTTAGTACGGAACAGCGTCTGGCTCCCCAGGCCTGTGCCTGCTGTATGGGGGCGGGGGGGGGGGGGGGTCGGCGCAGCCTTTTGCCAGGACTGCGGAGTGAGGAGGAGTTCTGAATGCTGTGGACCTCCTTAAGGCAAGGCCAGGCTGGGGAAGGGGAGCCTGGGGGAAGCAGCAGGTTGCCAGCAAGCCAGCCCACTGACAAGCCAGCCCGGCTGGGGGACTCGGGCCTAGGCAGCTGCAGGACCCAGCAGATGCCGCTGGCTCAGGAACGGGCTCTTGCCCGACCTGGGGCGGCACTGCTTGGAGGCACGCCGGTGGTCCCCTGGGCTTCCTGCCCTGCGTCTTCCGCCAGCCCATCCTGGCCAGACTATGGGGTCAGGCTGCCTGTGGCCTCGGCTGTGGTGCTGAAGAGCAGGCTGGGTCCTGGGCAAGACAGGTGCTGCGGGGGGTGGTGGCGGCGGAGTCCAGGGGGTCGGGGGGCGGGGAGGAGGCTTCCCGTCTCAGGATTTTGCACAGAGGTATTTTGAGTTTAGGAAGACAGTACTCCAGAGTACCATGTCTGATGCCCTCAAAAACGGTTCTGGCTTCTGCCCTCAGGAGGCTCCTGGGTCTGTGCAGAGGGGGTGCTGCTGTTTCTGGATGGTACGGGCACAGGGGAGTCCTGGGCTGGTTCTGAGCTCCAGCCCTGTTACTACCATGCATCAGCCCTGCTGGCCTTCTCTGGAGCTCGCCTCTCCCGTCCCAGCGCGGCCTCAGAGCTAGTTATCTGCAACGGGCACAACGGTGGGGGTGTTTCCTGCCACCTTCCCTATCTTAGACGTAGGAGTCTGAAGGGGACAAGGCGGCAGGCACGTCTGAGTGGAGGAGTTCAGTGCGCCAGGAGCAGGCTGCCTTTCACGGCAGACACCACACCTGTCTTTGAGGGTGCTCTCCTCCCCATGCCTCGCTTTGTCTGGATAGTCCCATCAAAGAATGGGTGCCGACAGAGTTCCAGGGCACCCTGGGATCCAACCATTCCCTGAGCAGATGGAATTGGCCTTTGTCCTGTCTGTACCCCTCAGAACGTCGAGGGGGCAGGGCAAGGGTGTGAGTTGGGAGGGTAAGCGTGCAGATGCTTAACCGAAGCCGTCTCCCGCCTGCCTCTCCTTTCTTCACCGGCCTCTTTGAGTCAACACGGTTTGACTGCCCACACAGGGCTGCACATCTGTCTGTGCAAGGGGTTTCCTGCCGAGGAGCAAGTTGGGCACCCGGGGGCCATGTCCCCCACCTTAGAGAATCGTGGCACCTGCCACGGGTGCCTCAGGGAACAGAGCAGGACCACAGACACTGTGCAGAGGTGAGGATGGACGGGCCCTTTTCCACAGCAGGCTTTCTCTGCTGGGCCCCCGGGACAGGCCTGAGTGACAGGATGGGTTTCTGGATGGCAGAGGTTTCTTCTTTTTCTGAACGAAGGGAGGACAGTCATCCATCAGAGGGAGGGTCCTGAGCAAGGGGGTCCACAGCCCTCCACTAGGACACCTCCCTAGAAACCGCGCCTGGAAGCCCAGCGGTGGGCTGAGTCCCTGTCCCGGGCCGCCGGGCCTGCAAGCACGGAGTCTGGAGGTGACGGACTTAGGGGAGCCCGTCTCTCTGTGTTCTGTCCAGGCCTGCTACCTGTGCCACAGCCTGCTGATGCTGGCCGGGGTGGTGGTCAGCTGCCAGGACATTACTCCAGACCAATGGGTGAGTCTCCCAAGAGGCTGAGATGGAGGCCAGCCCGCTGTCAGGAGCTGCAAAGAGTGGGAGGCTCTGAAAGACGTGGGCCTAGGGGAGCCAGGCTCCCTCCTTCTCCCAGTGTCCCACGAGGCATTCCCAAGGGATCCTGACCCAACCTCCCAGCAGCTGCCCTGTTCCTCTGCTCCCTTTCCTGCCCTACTTCTGAGCAGTCATTCAAATCCATCCCTCTCTTGCTCTGATTTCTTTCCCCCTCCTCCCCTTCTGCGGAGGGGCCTGGCCCATGCCACACCTCGCCCCACACCCCCCCCACACACACACACAGGGAGAACTGCAGCTGCTCTGTATGCAGTTGGACCGTCACATCAGCACCCATATCCGGGAGAGCCCGCAGGCCATGCACCGGACCAGACTCAAGGACCTAGCTGCCCAGACCTACATCCGTTGGCAGGAGCTGCTGGCCCATTGCCAGCCCCAGGTGATGCCCCCTCCGGGCCCGAGACTTGGGAGGGGAGGGAAGCGGTCAGGTGGGCTGACCAGAGCCAGCAGCATGTCTGCCCTGACTGCTGCTACTGAGCTCCTGACTGGCTGATGGGTGGAGAAGGCAATGTCGCGGGGTGGAGATGCCGCACAGGACCTTCATCATGCTCACCAAGAGTCCAATGCCCAGTGCAGGGGTGTCGTGAGGCGGAGACAGAGAGGCCAACTCCTGGCTAAATGCAAAGAAAAACTTCGCCCTAGAGAGGAGGAGCAGTGAGCAGTGCCAGGAAGGGGCACCAGAGGGACCAGCTGTCTCCCCTCTGCCCACTTGTCCTGCAGGTCTGAGGCTGGCTTCCTACTCTGCTGGGAGGGACCCTCTCAGCCTGCCCCGGTCCCTCCAATGTCTGGAGTGACAACCTCCACGCCCCTGATTCTCTCAGGCTCTCTTAGGGAATAATACCCATAGCTAATACGTATTGAACAAAGACCCCCTTTCTCCACGAATCCAGATAACTACGCCCATGAGACACGCCCTGTTAGCATCCCGTTCTACAGATGAGCAAGCTCACCAGAGTCGCTGAGAGGTTAAATGGCTTTGCCCCATCACGGAGGCAGCGTGTAAATGCCAGAACCAGGGCAGAGATCCAGCCTGACTCCCAAGCCCTGCTCTGGCAGCCTCTTCTCTGGTCTCTGTCCCTCTGACAAACAGCACTGGCTGCCTTGGGGGCTCTTCCCTCCCCTAGCCCCGAACCCTTGATGGCCACAGGCTGGGTCTGGTGAGCATTTCTCCTCCCACCCTCCCGGGGCCCCTCAGCTCCCAGCGGGTCTATCCTCGGCCTTCTCTCTGCCCCTCCCCTCCTTCCTCCTGTAACCTCCGACTTGGGGCTGACACACTGGCCACAGGCTGTGGCTTGGGTCTCAGATTTCGCAAGTCTCTGAGAAAGCTGGAGAGCAGACCTCACCCTCCGTCCCCCAGGAACTAGATCGCACTAGTCTCTGGTGGGAAACAGCGTGTTTGTCAGGAAAAGTGATCTGTGGCCTGGCCAAGTCAGGGGGCAGGCGCCACCTCCCTGTCACACTGCCCTGGGCCTTCGAGTCGTGAGTAGAGGGAACCCGGACAGAGCACTCCTGCGCTGTGCTCAGGTGGCCTGTTGACCTGCCGTGTCCTCTCCTGGACGGGAAGCCACAGGACTCTTGTAGCTCAGCACCGGGCATGAGGAGGCCTGTAGTGGATGTTGACGCTGGAGAGTCACCATCAGGACGGTGGGCCCTACCCGGCCTGGGGCCATCGCCCTGTTTTTCTCCTTGCCACAGGCCCAGTACTTCAGCCCCTGGAAAGACTAAAGGAGCAGGGCACGGCTGCTGGTCCCCAGCTCTTGGCTCTGGCAGGAAGCAGACGGGCTTCAAGGAACAGGAGGGCATGAAGAACAGAGGCCAGAGGAGGACCGGTGTGATGAAGCAAGAGCCTGCCTCCCCCTGACCCCCACCAGGCAACAGATTTGTCTCCCTGCCTGGCCCACCCCTCAGCCCTCCTTCCCTCCCAGTCCTCTCCTCTGCCCCAAGGCCTTTGCAGCCACTCTCCGTTTTCCGGGGGCCTCCTGGGCCCTCCCAACCCTCCTTCCTCTCTGGCACTAATGCGAGCTTTCTTTGTGCACACTAAAGTCTTATTTCAGCATCGGTGGTTTAGAAGATTTCCTTCAATGCCTATCCTGAGGGCTCCTGCCCAGCGTCCAGTTTCCTGACAGCTCTGCTGGTGCTGGGCCGAGTTCCCACCTCGGACAGTCATGTGACCTGGGCCTCTTAGGCCCCACCCCCTGCCCCAGAAGGCTGTTTGTAAATCCTGAGGGAGGAGCAGTTATTCCTGTGGCCTGAGAGCTGTCAGAAACCGGGGAGTACCGATAGGGAGCATTTGTTTGGACCCGGTCTGGAACTACACCCCCCCCCCCACTCACTGCCCTCACCGGGGAGGATCCACAGAGTGAGCTGGTGGGTCAGGGCTGTAATTACACTTAATTCAGTTTATCACTGAGTTCTGAAATCAACTCCCCAGACTTAGAAGTGGGGTGGGGTGCCAAAAGACAGTTCTGGATACTTTCCCTCAGCCTTGCCCAAGATCGGTTTGGTGGGCCCTGATCCTTAATGAAGTGCTGGGTGTCTTTGATCTGCCCCCCTTGAGAAGCATGTGGGCCCTGTGCATCACTGGGGAGATCCCTGGGTATCCCCATTCTCTGTCTACTTCTCCAATCCCAAGAATCCATTTTAGCATCAGTCTTCTCCTAACTCTGGGTTGGAAGAGGGTTTTACAGGGGCCGTAAGAGGTGGAAGTAGCAGAGAATGACCCCTACACCCTTGGCCTGGGCCCTCTCCTCAGCTCAAGCCGAGCGTCTGCCGACGGAGCTTCACCATGGCTGATGCTTACGACTTTCTGTGTTTATGTGCCCCTCTCCTTTGCTCTCATGCCACAGAGGTAGGGTAAGGCAGGCTAACTAGGAGAGAGACTCCCCCCCCCCCCAAATAAAGGACCTTCAGGGCAAGTGGCTCAATTTGCAGAACTGAAGGGTAGCCCATCACTTCCTGGGCCTGTCTTATTTATTTGTTTGTTTGTTTTGTTTTATTTAAGTAGGCTCCACACCCAATGTGGAGCCCAATGGAGGGCTTGAACTCATGACCCTGAGATCAAGACCTGAGCCAAGATCAAGAATTGGACGCTTAACTGACTGAGCCACCCAGGTGCGCCCTGGGGCTGTTTTAGACACAGCTGCCTCCCTCGCCCAGAAGTCTGGGAGCTGGGGGCATCTATAATTCAGAGGGCATGAGCACACGGCAGAGTGCTGGGTGCCATACATGTCGTTGCCCTGCCATGCTCCCTTTGCCAAGTGAGAGGTGGAAGAAGTCCTTAGCCAGGGTGACTTGGATACCCAGGTGACTTGACCGAGAGTTCTGGTTTCTGTTCCTGGCCACATCACAGGGCCCCCTGGCTGGGGCACCACTGAGGCCCCAGTGGCATCAGGTAGGCCTGAGATCGTCTGATAAAAGAGCGAAGGCTCTGGTGAGCCAGCCTCCTTCACCTCCCTCCGGGCAGCCCCTGCTTTTGACACTGCACTCCTGACAGTTAATCCTCAGCTCTTCAGTTTGCTCTGGAAACCTGGAAATCACCTTTGAAATTTCCCCTCTTTGTTCTCACTGCCAAGGGCGGAGAGGGAGTAGGGAGGCCTAAGAGGCTGAACTGGGGAGTTTCCAGTTCTTGAAGCTGCCCCTTCATGGCTCTGAGAAAGAGATCCATGCGGTCTATCACCATAGATGTCTGGGGCCCTTCTCCCCAGTCCTGGTCCTTGTGCACTGACCCCTCCTCCCCTGTTCCCCAAACACACTCATCCCCAAGAGGGAAATAGATACCAAGGAGAAAGGAGGTGTTGGTGAATACTCAGTCCCTCCAGAGACCTAGCTGTAACCTGAGCAGAGGGGTGTGCTTCGAGGTCACCTAAGGGCGTCCCATGTCCCCTGGGACATGTAATGGGCCCTCTCTGGAACTGGCTGGGAGCTGGCTGACCAGATCTTCTCAAACTGGTCTGGGACCAGTTAGAGACTCAGTCTCCTCTAGGCCAAGAATTCCACAATGGTGCTGGCAACTTCACCACTTGCCCTTTCCAGATCCTTAAGCTCCTGGGAAAAGGCGAGGGATATCCTGATTGAAGCCACTGGAAACGCAGCATCCGGGGCTGTGATGACGGATGTTTTCCTGCTTCCTTTTGGTGATGGTGGCAGGGAGGGGCTGGGAAGGGAAAGGCTTCCCAGGTGGACAGCTTTGATAACTCTCCTTTAGGAGGAAGTAGAGGAAGTCCTTTTCCTATGTCCCCGCTCACCTCGGGTCCCCAGGCCCTCAGAAAGATCCCTGAAGGATGGCTGACCCAGGCTTTCTCATTTCCCCCTCTGTGGGCTGACAACAGCTCCCGGATCCTTTGGAAGTTGGCCAGGCAGTGCTAACTGGAGAATCCCAGTGTGAACCCTGGGCTCCACTCCGGTCCGAAAGCTGCCTTGCAAGAACTAGGGGTGACGAGCTCAAATCAGGGATGCCATGGCACATGACCAATGTCGTGGGGGAGGGAGTGGGGGCTTGCCTTTCAGATAAGACTCCTGGGCCCATCTGTAGGGACTGGCCTGAGCTGAGCTGCCAGTGGACTCTTGGAGAACCTCAGAAGGCATTTAGCATATCTGGGTCTTTCCTTGACTTGGCCACAAGCAGGTGAGCAGGAGGGTCTGTTAGGGCCTAAGGCCTGAAGCATGGGTACCTTAAATAGAATATGGCAGATCAGACCCTAGAGAGACATGACAGGTACAGGAGACTTTTCTTCTTCTTCTTCTTTTTTTTTTTTTCTTAATTTAAAACCCAGGAATCCTCATTTTTGACCGGTTGTGCTTTTATTAAAAAGTATGAATCATGAGCAAGTAGTCATGCAGGAAACTTTATCCTCTGCCCACCCACCCATGGAAAAGGCCAGTGCTGGAAATGGACAGAACACAGCAGGAAATGAGTGAAGGTAGAAAAGGGGGGTGGGGGGTGGGGGGAGCTGCAGCCTTATCTTGGAGGAGCATTTGAGAGGGAAGGGCTCCCGGAGTCTGTTAGCAGGAACAGAGAAGCCTGCCATAACATACAGAAGACTGTCCCTGCCAGTGAAACCAAACCACCTTTTGAAACTTTCCACTGGGGCCATCTTGCAGGTGGAGCCAGGAGCTCAAGTCTCTGCCTGGTGGGGGTGGGAACGGAGGTGAGGAAAAACAGCAGGAAACAGGCTGTTTAGGGCTTAAAGGTTGTCCAGATGCACTCTGACTTGGTGCAAAGACAGAATTGGGAGTCCCAAGACCTGATTTAACATTCTGACCTTGCTAATTACCTACGTGCCTTTGAGCAGGTTGCTTCATCCTTCTGAGACGCATTTTATCTCTAAAATCAGAGACACAATACCTGCCCCTTTTTTTTTTAAGGTTTTATTTATTTATTTGACAGAGCGCAGGCAGAGGGAGCCTCAGAGGGAGAGGGAGAAGCAGGCCTGCCGTCGGATGACCTGAACCAAAGGCAGATGCTTAACCCACTGAGCCACTCAGGCACCCCATACCTGCCTTTTGAACAGTGGTCATGAGGATTACGTGAAGAAATGTATGTGAAGGCAGGTTGCAAAGTCTAAAGCACAGAACAAATGTTGAGCATCCGTTTACCTCCACTGAAAAAGACGGCAGGGTCTAACCTGGAGGAGGGGGGTTACACCCATCTCCCTCCCAGCCTGAAGCACAGAGCCTTCCCTGCCCACCCCATGCTAACTGTTAATTGGCTTGCCCTCTATCTCCAGCATTTCCAAGACCACAGCTTTCCCCCCCCACTCTCTGGTGGAAAGGAGCTGGGAAATGTGGCTTTGGCCAGTGCGGGAGAAGGGGCCTTTATGTGTACCAGCAAAGACCCAATTGTTACTGAATCCAAACTGTACTGCTTTTCCCAATTATCTCCACTACTCTTCTGGTCTCCATTTTCAGATGCCAAGTTTTAACTCAGAACAAAAGCTCCTGTCGGGACTGATTTATAATCCAGATCTGCTGACGGGGGCCCTCCACTGTTCCTCCCCTCCAGGACTGCACCCGTTTAAAGTTACCACCAAAGCCTCCAGGCTCCAGTCTCTTTACCTCTGTCATTTGCCCCTAGCCAAGAGGAGGCATCTGTGTCTGGGTGCCGATGGGGTGGCTTCCCTGGGGTTTGTCCACCTGCCCAGCTCCGAGGACCAGCTGGCAAGGTCCACCCCAGCACTGCCCCAGCGCAGGAGGCCAGAGCTACAAGTGACTTCTAGGAGCTGCTGTGGGCGGAGGCAGGCTGTTCTAAAAGGTGGTAGTTCTCCACCGAGGCTTCCCCTCAGCCGCTTTCATCTGAACGTTAGGGCTCATGTCACTTGTTATTCAGCCTTCCAGTGGCATCAGAAGGAGTCATTTTTTGGGGGCAGGCTCTGTGCAACAGGAGTCTCCCAGAGGGTTGTCTTCACCGGGAGCTGGGCAAGGGCGCTGCTCTCCCTCCGTGTGGAGCATGAAAAACAAGGAGCAGACTCTCCGGAGATTAGTGGGTCTTCCTGGCTGGTAAGACCCGTTCCAGTCTGACTGCGGGGGGAGGGGGGACGGGGGCAGTGGGCGTTGGGGCCAAGAAACGAAGCAGAATTTCGGGCCAAAAGACAGACCCACTCTGGTCCGCCCCGAAAAGGAGCGTTGATTTCCCCGGCACCCCTCCCTCGGATACTCGCCCCGAGGTGGTTCGCCCGCGTTGGTTCCAGTAACTGCAGCGTGGGGAGCTCCTCAGCCCCATTCCCGAG